AGACCTAATTAGTTAAGCTCACTGAAAGCTAGGATGGCTTCATTCTTTTTCTCTTCATCCCAGGTGTCTAAAGCAATGCCTGGCACATAGTAGGCACTTAATAAATACTTGCTAACTGATTGATTGGAGATCAATTAGAAGTGGAAACATAGGGGCATCTAGGCACCAGAGCACCAGGCATTGAGTCAGGAGGACCTGAGATCAAATCTGGCTTCAGACAGCTGTGTGACCTTTGGCAAGTCACTTAACCAGGAAGGAAGGAAGGAAGGAAGGAAGAAAGAAAGAAAGAAAGAAAGAAAAGAAAGAAGAGAAAGAAAGAAAGAAAGAAAGAAAGAAGAAAGAAAGAAAGAAAGAAAAGAAAGAAGAAAGGAAGAAAGGGAAAGGAAGAAAGGAAGAAAGGAAGAAAGGAAGAAAGAAAGAAAGAAAGAAGAAAGAAGAAAGAAAGAAGAAAAGAAAGAAAGAAAGAAAGAAAAGAAAGAAAGAAAGAAAGAAAGAAAGAAAGAAAGAAAGAAAGAAAGAAAGAAAGAAGATGGAGGGAGAAAGAGAGAGAGAAAGGAAAGGAAAGGAGAGGAGAGGAGAGGAGAGGAGAGGAGAGGAGAGGAGAGGAGAGGAGAGGAGAGGAGAGGAGAGGAGAGGAGAGGAGAGGAGAGGAGAGGAGAGGAGAGGAGAGGAGAGAGAGGAGAGGAAAGGAAAGGAGAAAGGAAGGAAAGGAAAGGAAGGAAAGGAAAGGAAGGAAAGGAAAGGAAAGGAAAGGAAAGGAAAGGAAAGGAAAGGAAAGGAAAGGAAAGGAAAGGAAAGGAAAGGAAAGGAAAGGAAAGGAAAGGAAAGGAGAAAACTGAACCTGAGTTCAAATTCAGCCTCTAAAAACACTTACATAGGCAAGCAGGTTAACCTCTCTGAGCCTATTTCCTCATATGCAAAATGGGGATAAGAAACTCACCCACCCACCCCAGGCCTGTTGTGAGGATTAAGTTCGATGATGCCTGTAAAATGCTTTGCAAACCTTAAAGTGTCATTAAAATACCTATTACTATTATTGTAACTTTGCTTGCTGTTCCTTATCAGGCCCAATTTCTTCACAGATGGTTGGGTACCTTTGTCTGAGGACTAAAGGGACCAGAAGCTTGCAGGCTTTAGAGGTAAACATTCAGTTTACTCCATTAGATGCTGGGACCCTGGGAAGGGATCAGAGACTGCACGAATTTCAGTTACTTACAAGAAAGTGAGTTTAAGCCAAGATGGCTTAAGTGTTCTGAGTCAGGGAAAAGCTGCATTACATGACCCTGTACAGAAGACTTCCTTCTGTCACCTCTTTCTTTCCTGATGGTAAAGGAACAAAAGAAGTCTGATGGCAAGAGATCTGTTTTGTGCCTATAAATTTTGGGGAAAGGAAACACAAAGACTGCTCACACCCTTGCCCACTTCTCTGGGACTCAGTTTCCTCCTCCGTTAAATGAGTGGGTGAGACAAGATGACATCGGAGGTCCCCTCCAGTCCTAAAGGAGCATTAACTTTGTTATGTCTTTCTACAATAATAATAGTGGGGAGGCAGCTAGATAGCACAGTGGATCGAGCACCAGTCTGGGAGTCAGAAGGACCTGAGTTCAAATCTCATCTCAGACACATAACACACTTAACTAGATGTGTGACTCCGGGCAAGTCACTTAACCCCAATTGCCTCATCAAAAAAAAATAATAACAATAATAATAGGGGCTTGTCCCCAGGACTTTTTTCTATCTAAATTCCACTGGAAAAATATGAGAACAATGTATTGGTTTTAATTTTTACTTACAACTTCACTAATGTGAAAATGTGTTTAATGGGTATGTAAATGTAAAGCCTATATCAGACTGTGTGCCGTCTTGGGGAGGGTGGGGGGAAGGAAAAGGGAGAAAAATTTTCAACTCAAAAGCATATGGAAAAAATTAAAAAAAATTAAATTTAAAAAAAGAAAAAGAAAAATACGAGAACAAGATAATTCAAATAAATAGACATCACTGCCTTTTGTAGAGCATTTTAAGGTTTCAGGTGCATTTGACAAATTACATGAGCTCATTTGAGGCTCACAACAATCTTGTGAGGTAGGTTCTATAGCTAGTATTACCCCCATTTTACAGATGAGAAGAGAGATGAAGTGGCGTGCTCATGGTCAGATAGGAAGCATCAGAAGCAGGATCTGAACTGTGGTCTTCTTGGGCCAAGACTGGCCTTCTCATGACTACAACCTCTCAAGCCGAAGTCTGCCAGCTGCAAAGGAGGACAATTCTTGGAGAGCACCAGGCCTAACCACCACCTCAACAGAGGAGCTACCCATTAAGGAAAAGGTTTAAACAAGCTTCATTGGTTAACACAACCACCAATAAAGTACATATATGCCTCCTAGAAAGGGGCTCAACTCTTTATAAACAGATGATTCAGAAAACACAGACATCAGCCCATAGAGAAAACAGAGGAGTGGCCAATTCCCACTGAACCACAGAAGGTCTAAGATAGGACCTCAGAGTTCATCTCATCTAATGCCATCATTTTACAAGTGGGGAAACTGAGGTCTAGAGAGGGAAAAGAACTCAACCAAGATCAAGTCACTATTTAGTGTAGACTTAGAACCCAGGTCTTTGCATCGCAAACCCCATGTCTCTTTACACTAAATGATACTGACATAGTAAATGCCTAGAAATCCCTCTGATCTGATCTGGCCTCTCCTGTCAGCATGGTGTGCATTGGTACTCATTCACTCCTACATTCATCTTTCCCAAGTCAACTCAAACACATCCAAGAAACAAGTGTCCTGAAACGTCTTGAGAGGGATTTTTTGAGACATCCAGTCCACAAGAGAAGTTTTTCTTCACTGATATTTTCCTTTAAATGATTTGCTTTAACAATTACGTTTTTCTTCAGGAATGGAATACCTAATAAATGACAACTAAAATCTGTCATACCCAAACAAAGAAAAGGTTACTACTTGGGAATGTGGGTTATGAAGGCTTTATCAAATAAGTTGGAGGAACTTTCCTGGAAAGTTACATAATTCAAAACACACAGAGAAACATCCTTCTCATACCATCCAGATGGTTTTCCAAGAAGGAACGAGTGAGGATGATGGCAAGTGTGCAGCAGACCCAAAACCAAAGAGCCAACACCCCCAGTTATGCATTTCCAAAGTGATTATTTTGGAAAGCATGTTGTCCTCTCTCAGAAAAACTGCTTCACCATCCCCAAAAGGCCTCAAGTGACTACCACAAGCCGGAAGTCCTCCAAAGCTGAGGCGTCCTCCTAACAAAGTTCGAATAAGCAACGGGAGGTTTGAACAAGACTGATTTGCCTTGAACTTGTCCTCAAGCTACATGATGAACCCTCACAGGAAACTCTGGGTAGGTGGTTGTCTTGGTCAGACCTTTGTTTTGCAAAACCACCACTGGCAATCCTTACAACTGTCTGTCCTGGTTTCTTACTGTCACACCAAGGCAGGCACAAGTGCTTCCAGTCACTCTGGGTCCGCTCCAGAAAGTCAGAGACCTTGGGCTCTCTCTAAACCCCAAATGTTAATGTGCTAAGCCAGAACTGATCTGGAGCCTGGCATGGCTACAAGCTTTTCTGGTCAGGGAAAGGAAAAGAAAGGAATAAAGCAGGAGTTTAAAATCTGCCCTCTGTTGCTCATCCCTCATTGATGTTTGTTTGTACTCAGATGTTTGCATGACGTCTTCGCCGTTAGACGGTGAGTCCCTTGAGGGCAGGGGCTGTCTTTTCTATCCCCAGCACTGCAGGGCCCACAACTGGCAGTTGACAAATATTTGTTGATTCGACTTGTTGCCTCGACTTGTGAAACGCAAACTATGCCGCCTATATTCCTAGGAAGGGAGACATATTCTGAAATGCATTTGACTCAGCATGTGTCCTCCTAAGCCCAGCAGGAGATGCAGGCAACCCTGTGCTCACACACATCGGCACTGCCGAGAATCTCTCCGGGCGGTAGTCACAGCTCCTCCCCCCCACACACACTTTCATCCTGGATCTTTCTGCCCAAAAAGGGGGTGGGGGTGGTTACCCCATCCTAAAACGTGAGCCACATCCCCGAGGCCCCTCAGCTGGAGGAAGTGGATACTGACAAGGGGAAGAGGGGGAGGCGGGAGGAAAGTGACAGAAAGAGAGAGCGGGCAGGAAAGCGGACGTAGGCCGAGCTTGGCCAGGCTCAAGGCGGCATCCTGCCCCAAGTTCGGGTGCCCTCATCCTGCTTGGTGTTGTGCCGGTCCGAGGGTGCCCAACTTCAAGTTCAAGGGCCTCTCCCAGGCACCCCTCAAGGAAAACTCTGGCTGCCGGTCGGGTCAGGACCGGGCGATCCCGCCGGTGGGGAAGTGGAGGAGGGGAGTGAGTTTCCTAAGTTAGCAGCGGGGCTCCCCACCCCACCCCACACCCCCGCTGCTGAGGGATTCCCTCCAAGGAGGCCCTGCTCCACTCTGCTGGGGGAGACTGGAGGCGGGAACGGGTAAGGAGGGCGAGGGGAGGAGGAATCATTTCCTCCAGGCCCCCCTAGGCCAGGAGGGAAGGGGAGGGCTCCGAGAAAGTGAGCAGCAGCAGCTGCGGAGACCTTGGAGCCAGGCGGGGACCCGGGCCGGGGGAGAGGCCCCCGAGCTGGGCAGAAAAGGAGATGGCCAAGCCCTGAGCGCCCGGGCTGGGAAGGAAAGCGCTTTGTTGACCTTAAAGCGCTAGCGAAAGGCTGCCATCCCCATACTCATCTAGGCAGATTCTCAAAGGAGTAAGACTTGGGAAGGGCGTTAAACATCTTCTAAACGGACACGCACCCCCTCGTTTCGCCGATGGGGAAACTGAGGCCCAGGGAGACGTAGTGACTTTTTGCAAGAAAAGAGAGGAGTGTCCCAGCTGGTACAGTGGAAGTCCCGGGGAACCCTGGACTGGGCGAGGCTACAGGGTAGGGAGAGGCCCGGGGTCCGAGGGGAGCAGGGGTTGGCCCGGGCTCCGATGTGGGGCAGGGGAAAGCTACCTTGTAACATGGCCTCGAGTTTCTTCCTGTCCACGCGGAAGCGCTCCTCGCTCCACTCGGGGCTGGGCAAGGGGCCCCCGGCCAGGTCGTCCTCGGACCCCGGCACGGGCGAGTCGGTACTGCGCTCGCTCGTGGAGCCCGGGTCCGACTGCGCCGCCAGGTAGCCCGGCTCGCCCTGGGCAGCCATGGTGCGAGGGGGCTCGGGCTCGGGCTCCGGCTCCGGCCGCCGTCCCCGCCGCCGCCGCCGCCTCCTCCTCCGCGGGCGCCGCCGCAGCCGCTCCTCCTCCGGCGCCTCCGCCTCCTCCCCTTGCGCCTCCTCCGCCTCCTCGGACTGGCCCTCCTCCGCCTCCCCGGGCCGCGCTGCTAGCTCGCTCCCCAGCAGCCCGAGCCGCTGGAGCCCGAGCCGGAGCCGCCGCGCCCCGAGCGCATCCCCGCGCGGGCCCCCCCAGGCTCCCGGAGGTGCTGCTGCCCTCGGCCCTGCCGCCGCGCACTGAGCGCCCAGCTGCCGCCGCTGCCCCTGCCGGTGCCGCTGCCCCTGCTGCTGCCCGGCCACCCGCCGCCCAGGCTGAGGCTCCATCCGCCCCCCTCCGCGGCCTGGGAGACCCCGCCCACCTTGGCCGCCTCTGCCTTCCATTGGCCCAGGCAGGCCACGGGGCGGGGCGGGGGCGGGGAGGCGGGGGGACCACCCCCGGCACCCACAAGCACCACGCACACACGGACCTCCAGCCCCTAACTCTCCAGTCACACACACACATACACACACACACACACATATCCCTATACACACACATACACATCCCCACTGACTGCCAAACCAACGCAAACAACCCGGGCATGCAAACATCCCACCCATCCTAACCCTCCTCCAAAGTACATGAACACAGCCCTAGCCGCACCTCCACCCGAAAATACACATCACCCAGACAATCACAAACACACTCATCAGTATCCCCGTTACCCTCTATTCAGATGTTACATCAAAGACCGTGCCTCCTACCTCAGTGGACACACACACATCCCGAGAGGTGATATGACATATAGGAGAAAGTCAGCAAACTTTTATTAGGCACCTATTATGTGTGAGGCACTATGCTAAGGGCTGGGGATACAGGGAAAAGTCAAAGACAGTCCCGGATCACCAGGAGTGTCCAGTGGGGAGGCAGCATGCAAACAAGGGCATAACCTTCCTGAGAACTAGAGGGAAAGGCTGAGGCTTTGACTGGGCACAGCAATGTGCTGCCTGTCTGGTGGGGAAACTGAGGCCTAGAAAAGTAAAGAGACTTACCCACATAGCAAATTATAAACACATGAGATCATGGATACCAAACCCTTTGCAAAGTTAAAGTGCTATGAAAATGCTGGCTATTATCCTGAAGGAAAAAAAAAGGAAGCATTTATTAAGCACCTACTATGTGCTAAGTGCTCTTAAAATAGCATCTCGTTTGATCCTCACAACAACCCAGGCAGGTAGGTGCTGTTATTATCCCCATTTTACAGATGGGGAAACTGAGGCAAAAAGAAGGGGCTTTTTGTTTGGTTTTTTTTAGTGTCTTGTCCAGGATCATACAGCTAGTGTCTGAGGCTGGATGTGAAGAACTCAGGTCTTCCTAACTACAGGCCTAGAGCTTGATCCACTTTGCCACCAGCTGCCTCCACTGCTGCATAGAAGTTCCTTCTCTCCCCCCCCAACCTCCTATTCCTCATGATCTTAAGTCCACACTTCCAGATAATGTGGTTGTGCCTCTAAGGGGTTTCATGACCCTGAGTCAATCACTTCACTTTCTCCTTGAACCATTCTCTCCTCCTCTTCCATCCACCTCACCCTTTCAAATCTTCCTAATGCCTTCTGTCTGGCTCTCTCTCTTTTGTCCTTATCATAGTCTGCTTTGTATCATACTTAGAAACCAAGAGAGACCAACAATTCTTGGTTATATTGGGCACTTGAACTCAAGGAGAGACAGAAGGGTTAGAAGGACATGGTGAGAAGGAGGTAAAATGTCTACAGAAATGGAGAAGATTCACTCTGGCCGTGAAACAGTTCCCCTTTAGGAGACTGGGATGGATGCATTTGGACCAGAGCTGGTTGGAGAGGTCAGTAGTGAGGCTGGAGGCAAGACCAAAACAGAGCCTTCTACCTCAAGGGAGAAAAGGGGTTCTTGGGCAAGTCACTTAACTCTGATTGCCTCACCAAAAAGAAAAAAAATTATGCCCAAAGGGCTATAAAAATATGCGTACCCTTTGACCCAGCACTAGCACTTCTAGGGCTATATCCCAAAGAGATCATACAAATGGGAAAATGACCCACATGTACAAAAATATTCATAGCAGCTCTTTTTGTGGTGGCAAAGAATTGGAAATTGAGAAGATGCCCACCAATTGGGGAATGGCTGAACAAGTTGTGGTATATGAATGTAATGGAATGCTGTTGTGCTATAAGAAATGATGAACAGGCTGACTTCAGAAAAACCTGGAAAGACTTGTATGGTCTGATGCTGAGTGAAATGAGCAGAACCAAGAGAACGTTGTACACAATAACAGCCACATTGTGCGATGGCAAATATTCATAAACTTAACCCTTCTCAGCAATACAAGGATCTAAGACCTCTCTAGAGGCCTCGTGATGGAAAATGCTAGCCACATCCAAAGAAAGAACTATGGAAGTTGAATTGCTATTTTTTTTTCTCTTCTGTTGAGTTGTTTCCTCTTTCTGACGGTTCCTCCTATTGGTTTTAATTTTTACTTACAACATCACTAATGTGAAAATATGTTTAATAGGAACGTAAATGTATAGCCTATATCAGATTGTGCGCCATCTTGGGGAGGGTGGTAGGGAGAAAGGGGAGAAAAATTTTAAACTCAAAAGCATATGGAAGTGATTATTGATAAATCAAAATAAATTAATAAAATTTAAAAAACAAAAAAGGGGTTATTCCCACATTATGTCTCCAAAGCTCAAAGAGGAGCTCTGTCCCAAGAACCAGGGTTCCTGAGTCCTTCACTCTGTGAGTCAAACATCAGTTGAGATCTTCTTTATAGTACCTATGTTCTTTTGCTCATTCCCAGACGGAGATAGAGTGAAGGAGAATAAAACAAGCTAAAAGGTACATTGTTCTCTTCCAGGGAGTGGAGTTGCTGGCTGTGAGACCAGGACCTGAGCCTCCAGGGTTTAGAGCACAGCTATAACCAGCTAAAGCTGGCCTGAATCTGGGAGAAGCTGTAGGCATGCACTAGATGTCCTATTGTGTATTATTTTGATTCTTTTATACATTCAATGGTAAAGATTAAGTCGCTGCATATAGAATTTGTGAATGTCTATTTGCTTGCAAGGACAGCTTATGACAAGGTCTCACAATTAGCATTCAACGAAATATAGCAGATTCAAGGAAGGAGGTTTTTGTAGGTGGGATTAACAAGGAGCAAAGAGATCAAATAAAGGAGGAGGAAAAGGACTGATGTGTAAAAATATATTTAAGGCTGCTCTTTTTGTAGTGTCAAGGAATTAGGGGGCAACTAAGTGGCACAGTGGATAGAGCACGGGCCCTAGATTCAGGAGGACCTGAGTTCAAATCCAGCCTCAGACACATAACACTTCCTAGCTGTGTGACCCTGGGCAAGTCACTTAACCCCATTGCCTTGCCAAAAAAAAAAAAAAGAATTAGGAACTAAGGGGGTGCCCATTAGATGAGGAATGGAAGAACAATCATGATACCGAAATGCAATAGAATACTATTGTGCTGTCAGAAATTATGCAAAAGACAGTTTCTGAGAAACTTGGCAAGACTTAGGTGAACTAAAGCAGTGTGAAGTGAACAGAAGCAGAACAATTTATATTTTACACCCACTGTAAAAATGAATGATTCCAAAAGAATTCAGAACTCTTATCGAGGCAATGATCAACCATGACTCCGAAGGAGAGGCTGAAGCATGCTACCCGCTCCTGACAGAGAGGAGTTAGACTAATGTGCAGAATGAAATGCATATGTTTGCACATGGCCTATCTGGGAATTTGTTTGGCCTGACTAAACCTATTTGGTGTAAGGGAAAAAAATAAATGATTGACCAGGGAAATAAATGAAATTTCTTTTTTTTTTTAAATGGAGCATGGCCAGCCAGAGAGAGAAGGAGCTGGGGGATGGAAGAAGGTCATCCAATTTCTTTAAACTACAGACATCTTGGCATTTCCCTAGCCTCTAGTTAGTGTGGGATGGAGTGCCAGGGTGAACTTCCTAATCCCTGATCTTTTGTAAATAGGTGGCAAACAGTGCCATCTAGTGGTTAAAGAGAACTGTCTTTGCCTGTCATTAAACTATAAACTCTCTGAGGGCAAGACTATGCTGCTATTTTTTTCAATCTTTGTATCTTCCCTAGTGCATAGCACAATGCTTTATACAGAGAAAGTGCCAAATATGTGTTTTCTGAATGTTATTGAACTTTTAGGCTTCAGTCTTTTTCATTCCTAAAATGTTGAGCTTGGATCCTTCCAGCTCTAGCATTCTATGACTAGGAATTAAGAGAACATCCTCTTTCCAGGTTAAAAAGATAAATCCTTCATGGAAAAAATAGATGGGTGGAAGTTTTGAGGGAACACAGAAATATTTTGTTTTACTTGGTTGGAGACTATTTACTTTTTGTGGTTTTGATCAGAGAGGAAAGATAAAGCAAAGCCTCATGCTAGATTTATGAATAAGATACAGACATATGCTAAGAGATGTCACATGTATCTAGGTGGACTTGGAATTCATTGAATGACCACATGCAAACAGCAGACATTAATAGTTCAAGGTGAAGTAGGAAAGGGTTCTCCAGTGGTCCAGGGATCTGTGCTTGGCCATATGCCTTTTAAACATTTAACCAATTACTTGAATCAAGGCAGAGATAGCATGCTAATCAAATTTGGTGGATTTTTTATTATAAAGTATTTTCTGAATAATAAAAATATTTTGCTATAAAGTATTTTGATCAGTTGGCAGCTAGGTGGTACAATGGATAGAATGCCAGGCCTGGAGTCAGGAACACCTGAGTTCAAATCCAGACTCGGACACTTTCTAGCTGTGTGACCCTAGCCAAGTCACTTAACCCTGCTTGCCTCGGTTTCCCGATCTGTAAAATGAGTTGTAAAAGGAAATGGCAAACCATTACAGTATCTTTGCCAAGAAAATCCCCAGTGGGGTCACAGAGAATCAAACATGACTGAAAACAACTGAAATGTATGATTTTTTATCAATGACTTGAATAGAAGCAGAAATGACAT